ATGAAATAGAGAACAAACTTTTGTTTGTTTTTACTAAAAAGCATAAAATTTAAAAAGTTCTTTAAAAGGGCTAATAAAGGGGCACCTGTGTGGCTCAGTGGGTTAAGAATCTGCCTTCAGCTTGGGTCATGATCTCAGGGTCCTGGGATCAAGCGCAGCACCTGGGATTGGGATTGAACCCTGCATGGCAGGGAACCTGCTTCTCCTCCCTCTGCTACTCTCTCTGCCGCTGCCTCGCTAGTGCTCACTCTCAAATAAATAAGTAAAATCTTTTTTAAAAAAATTTTATTTATTCATGATAGTCACACACACAGAGAGAGAGAGAGAGGCAGAGACATAGGCAGAGGGAGAAGCGGGCTCCATGCACCGGGAGCCCGACGCGGGACTCGATCCTCGGTCTCCAGGATCGCGCCCTGGGCCAAAGGCAGGCGCCTGATCCCTGGGTGGCGCAGCGGTTTGGCGCCTGCCTTTGGCCCAGGGCGCGATCCTGGAGACCGAGGATCGAGTCCCGCGTCGGGCTCCCCGGTGCATGGAGCCCGCTTCTCCCTCTGCCTATGTCTCTGCCTCTCTCTCTCTGTGTGTGACTATTATGAATAAAAAAAAATTAAAAAAATAAAAAATAAATAAAAAATTAAAAATAAAAGGGCTAATAAAGTAGACAAACCTTTTATAAGCACAGAGAAAAAAAAGAGTAAAAAAGGCAAGATTAGTTCCGAGAAACAAAACATTAAAAAAAAGTATATAAATGTGCAACTTAAAATTTCTCATCGACTAACTTGAAAATTTAGAGGAGGGATGCGGGACGCCTGGATGGCTCAGTGGTTGAGCATTTGCCTTGGGCCTAGGACCTGATCCCAGGGTCTGGGGATCAAGTCCCACATCGGGCTCCCTGCATGAGCCTGCTTCTCCCTCTGCCTATGTCTCTGCCTCTCTCTCTATGTCTCTCATGAATAAATAAATAAAATCTTTAAAAAAGAAAAGAAAATTTAGAGGAAATGGATACATTTCAAGAAAAATGTAAATGACCAAAACTGGCCCAAGAGAAAGAAGAAAGCTTGAATAGCTCAACCTACCTTAGAAAAGATTAGAATAAGAAGGCGATTATAGACCTATTTTTGGAAAGACTGCATTCAAAGGGGAACAGAACTAAGATTTATCTATTCTTACTTTTTTTTTTTTGAGAGAGAGAAAGAGAGAGAACAAGCAGGGGGGAGGGGCAGAGGGAGAGAGAGAAGCAGACTCCTCACTGAGCAGGGAGTCTGAAATGGGGCTCAATTCCAGGACCCTGAGATTATGATCTGAGCTAAAGTCAGATGCTTAACTAAACCAACCACCCAGACACCCAAGTTTTATTTATTCTCAAATAATGATAATTTCTATGCCATTTAATCTAGTCAAAACTACAGGAAAAGAAGAAAAGCTCCCATATTTAATATTTAGAGCCAGCAAAATTTAATACAATTCCTAATAAAAATTCTAAGTAAAAATGAAAAAGAGGAAAACTGCTGGAATATAATAAAGACTTTTTACTAAAACCTAACAGCAAATATTGTCCTCAATGGTGAAATACTAAAACCACTTCCATTAAAATAAACATTTAGACAGAGATGCCTGCTATTATTCTTATTATTCAATACCTCTTGGACGTTTTACCAAATGCAATAAGTCCTTAGCCACATTCACATTTTTGTCAAGTAAAAGAACATATCCACGGGTTCTAGGGATTCAAGTGTGAACATTTGGGAGAGGCCATTATTCTGCCTGCCATGATCTGTCTATGGATTAGAGCCTCCTGGCACCGGTGGATTAAAGTTACAGAGATGGATATAACCTGACTTTCAGGGTCTCAGGAGACTTCTTTTACTTCTAGATGTGAGCTGGATTTCACCAAAGTTTTTTTTTTTTTTCACCAAAGTTTTTACAGATGAGCCCCTTTCCACACAGCAAATTCTTTTCTAGTGCCCTCATAGCTGGGCTCCCTCCTCTTGTCTACTTTTCCAACCCAGAGCCCTGTAATAATACACAGCGCAGAGGCCAGGAGAGAGCAAGGTGTGGGTTTTGGTGTCTGTCCTGTAGATGCTCACATGCTCTAATGGTTACAGAAAAGCTGAAATGCACAGCACTGGCCCCTTGGCTCTAAAAAGCCAGCAGGCTCTCCTGACATTTGGGCAGGTGAGGCCCAGCCTAAGTTACAGGCGTCCTTCGTGATGTCCAGTCTTTAAAGGTAATGTGAATGTCAATTTTGCAAAGACCGCATGTGACACACATGGGGAAGAAGGATCCCGCTCTCACATCCTATTCAGAAAAGAAGGCACTGGAAAGGAAAGCACAGTGTCATAGGGCATGTGTAACCATCACGAAAAGAGCTAAGGAGGAAGGAGACACAGGCCAGGTCTCCTTAACGCACCCATGCCATTGTGCTTGGTCTAACTCACTCCAGTTGCATTTGGATGCCCTACCTTCTAAAGCTTCTCCAAGGGCCCATTTAGCCAGCATATCCATTGATTCTTTTTTTTTTTCCTTTTGGTTTTATTTTATTTTATTTTATTTTATTTTATTTTTTTGAGCACATACTGAAAACTTGGTTTGGCATTTTATATGCTATCCAGGCCATGTTCACTTGTGTATTGGTTCTGAAAACAAGGGCATTATCTACAGTTTACTGAATTTCTGCAAATACCCCTGCAACAGATCTACATAGGTGCTGCCCCGGCCCCCGTACCCCACGCCAAGTACCCTGACCCCGCACCCCTGCCCCCAGCTGCTCTATAGGATCCTACTCAGTCTCACGGGCCCCTGAGGCCCCCAGGGAGCCAACAAAACGCACCATGGTCTGTTCTCTGGAGGAAGCCCTGATAGGATGACTGGGGGAGGGGACCCGGTTGTTGGAAACTTTAAGCAAGGACGGTTAACAGCTGCAGGGTCACCTTAGGAAATGGTGAGCCTGAGAAAATAAATACATCTATCATCTGTCCCCATGGCCTTTTAAGACTTTTCTGCAAACGGCTCATCATTCCTTGCGATGGAAAAAGATAACAGCCATCATGGGCACCCTTCAGCCCCCAGAATTCTCCGAGCTTCATCCTCCCAGCAGGTCTTGCCATAGATTCTCACCTCACACACACACACCTCCACAGATGGCCAAATCCAAGGATGCATGCTCACATGTGCACACTCACACACATGTACACCTGCCTATTCTCAGGTGACAACTGTACTTTTCTACTGCACTAGGTCCTTTTTCTGGGAAGGCTGGGTGGTGCTGTTGAGCAGAGCTCTCAGGAGCCCCACGGGGCCCTGATGGCACCCCTCTACACACCACTAGTCCTACACCACAGCTGCTAGCATGTGGTGAGGACCTCTTTCTCCTTCCTTCTTCCTCCCCACAGGTGCAATGTGTGAAGAGGTTCTGCGGGGGCAGATGCCACCCACAGCAAGGGTTTTTTTTCCCACCTACGTATCATGTCTTGTCTCAGCCTCTTTCCACCGGTGGAAGCAAGCCCTTCTGGGGTCATAGCTTGGTAAGAGAATGTTAGGGAGCACCTCTGAACCACTGCTCAACAATCCTCCCTCCTCCTCCCTTCTGTCAGCCAGGCCTTCACCAGCCAGGAGGGCCTCCTAGCCCTGACTCTTCTCTCACAAATACCCCCTTTGTCCTCGGGGCTGGGTGTAAGGGGACAATGTTAAGACTTTATAAGGAAAGAACTTTACTAGGAAAGTAAAAAAAAACAAAAAACAAAAAACAAAAAACCAACAAATCCAGACCAAGAAAATATCAAAGCCTCAAATCCAGCGTCTGTGTGCTCAGCACCCAGCCCTGTTCTGTTTCCTTGCTTCCCTTCTAAGGAGCTGCTGCCCTCTCATCCCCACCCAACTCCTTTGTTCACCTGCCCCCCGGGCCTCCACAAGGGTGCATAAGGGGTCAGTGCTGCAGGCTTTTCCAAAGGTGCATGAGCTAGGGGCTGTCCCTCATCCTCACCCCCAGCCCGGGCCTATCCCCAAGCCTGTGCCTCCTGGACTCAGCTCACTGCATCTAGCTCAGATGTTGGGACACAGGATGCCCTGAGTCCAGCATGGGGCAGGATGGGATGAGGAAGGGACTGACTGGCCAACGGTGTGATGGATAGGGAACAAGGGTGGACAAGGCCAGGGAAAGGCTGTGAAGAGGGAATCTAGGGGAGTTTGTAGAAGAGAAACTGTGTGGTCCTAGCTCCTCTGTATCCTCCAAAGGCCTGCCACATTCTCAGGAAGGGCTTTGGAGTGAGAGCCTCCCTATGTGTGAGATCCTTAGCAGCTCTGCAGGACAACAGCAGGAGTGGGAGGGTCTCCCCCTCCCACCAGCCTCCAAACTGATAGGGAAATGAGCTCCACCAAATCGAGGGCCCCTTTCTGGGAACCCATACCTGCTGGGAACCCCAGGATGATGAGGAGCAAGGGCTCCACACTAGGACCCCTCCAATACGATGTGGAGGCTGGAGCTCCACTCTGCAGCAATGACTGGGGAGATCCTCTGGGTTTAGTCAGGCACCAAAGAGCTCTGACAACACATAGATAAGCCCATGGACAGAGCAGCCAAGGTTAGAACATAGGGCAAATCAGGGTAGATGACCAGGAGGACAAGTATTTAGAGCCCAGCGCTGCCAAAGTGGGTCTGGGGTGCATGAAGGGGGAGCACAGGCAGGACACAGGGACGGGCCTGAATAGTGATCCAGTGACACCTCCACGCTGCAACCCCACGTTCTGGACTTCAGTTTCCCATCCCCTGTCCCTCTGGCAGAGGCTCAAGGATGCCGTCTGCTTCATTGAACCCATCTGTGTCTGACACTTGCTGACATCTTCCTCTTTTGCAACTGGAAGTCAGAGGGTAAAGCACTAAGCTGTGCAGTCACAGAAGGAAGACAGAGCCTCCGAGTGTGAAGGGACAGAGGGGAGAGTGTCTGGGAAGCTCTGGGGCTGGTGGAAGAAAGGGTAGACGGGTGGGAGCCGGGTTGCTCAGGGCAATGGCTGAGGCCATCACCTATGCAGACCTGCGGTTCGTGAAGGCTCCCCTGAAGAAGAGCATCTCCAGCCGGTTAGGACAGGGTAAGGGTGGGCAAGGCATCTCCTTGATTCTGCATCCCCAGGCTCCCTCATGACCCCACCCTCACCTCCACCATTTCTCTCTTCAGACCCAGGGACTGATGAGGATGAGGAGCTTACCTATGAGAATGTACAAGTGTCCTCAGTCTCAGGTGGGCCCTTGAGTTTGGCTTCTTCTGGAGTAGGAGACAAAGCAGGTACGGAGAGCCCAGAGAATGTGTGTGTCTGTGTCTTGAGCTGGGAGTCCAGGTATTCTTGGGGGGGGGGGCAGGCACAATATCCCTGGGAAAGGAGGGGGTGCTTAGGAAAGAGAATGACCCGTGGATAAATGGGAGTCAGGGAAGAATAAAGAGCCCAGGGGCAAGGTGGAGATCCCAAAGGGGTGACAGGGGCTGCGGGGAGAGATTGGGGCAGCCCCTGTGGGGAGACGAATTCGGATGGGAAATGGGGAGTCACGGGACAGAGAAAGGGTAGGGGAGAGGGATGAGAGCACTTCTGGGGAGACGGTTGGGACACGCGGACGCGGGCAGGGCTGAAAGAAACCTAAGGGGAGACCCAGGAGGGAAAGGAGGGGGTCCCGGGAGAGCGGATGCAATAAGACCCAGGAGAGACAGGAGTCCTGGGGGAGATGCGGGACTCCGGAGAGTGCTAAGGGTGTCCCCGAGCATCACAGACGTCGCCGAAGGCGTCCCGGACCGGACTGGGGACGGGGGGGGGGGGGAGGGGAGAGGGGGAGATGGTGGGAAGAAGGGGAATTTCCCGGGGCTTCCCGACTTCGAACTCGAGTCGCCGCGGGTCCGCAGGGCTCCAGGCCGAGCAGCCAACTGCGTCCTGGGGCTCCGTGACGTCACCGGCTGCCGGGCGGCTCCTCGCGGGTGAGTCGCGGGCCCTCCCCGCGGGCGCGCGCCCCCGGCTGCAGGGCGGGGCCTCGGGCGGGCGCCCCTCCCCCCGTCCGCGGGGCAGCGCCGGGGGGCGGCGAGGGTCGCGCGCCGGGGGGTCTGGCCTGGGCTGGTGCGGCGGTGCGCGGGTCGGCTCCCGGGAGTGAGCTCGGGGAGCAGCGCTCTGGGCGCGGCGGGCAGCCCCGAGGCCCCCCTCCCCGCCCCTTCACCCCCATACCCGTGTGTATCATTCCCCCAGGTTGACCCAGATCTTCCCTCCTCCCCCTTTACGGTGTCCCCGTGCACATACCCCCCTGTCCTCTGTCCTGGTCTGAGATTTGTTCCCATCCCACCAGGTATCGCCCCTCAATCCTTACCAGTAACGATTCCAACCCTTATTCTGGAACACCTTCCTTCCGCTACCTGCGGAAACTCAGTACCCGACGAACCCCACCATACCAGCACCAGTCCTCTGAGGGATACTCTTGCCCGTGAATATCCCCACTCACCCGGCCCCTCAGCCTACAAACTTTCCTGGGGCTCTCTGCCCTTCTTCCCACTGTCTCCCTAAGGCCGTGCAGCCTGTATGCAGTACCTCTTTCTTGGCCTGCTCCTCACCTGCCTGCTGTTGGGGGTGGCCGCCATCTGCCTGGGAGTGCGCTGTGAGTATGACTGTCCCCCACTGCCCATGTACCCTGAGCAATATTCTCCCCTACTCTTCCCAACAGCTGCCCTTCCTCTGGGCAGGGCCCAGTCACTACCACTACATGCTTAGCTTTTCGTCTGGTTTCCAGCCAGGTCTGTTTTAGAGTGCCATGTCTTCCTAAATTGTCCTTACTTAACCCAGTACTTCCTTAAGCTTTAGGCAGTCAGATCTTACATTTCAGCCCGTTATGCAAAAATTTGCAAGAAACAGAAAAAGGACTGACGCTGAAGAGTCCGGGTACCAGGGCATAGCTGAAGAAGATGTTCTTCAAATCTCTCATTATGGCCGAACAGATCTGCAGGTTTCTCAGCAGCTCCAGCAGACCAACAGGGTTCTGGAAACCACTAACAGCAGCCTAAGGCAGCAGCTCCACCTGAAGATAACCCAGCTGGGGAAGAGGGAAGAGGATCTGCAGGGGTCCAGGAGGGAACTAGCCCAGAGTCAGGAAGCACTACAGGAGGAACAGAGGGTTTGCCAGGCTACCCAAGAGCAGTTACAGGCCTGCCAGTCTGAGAGGGAGAAGACAAAGGAGGACTTGCAAAGTGAGGAGGAGCAAAGGAAGACCTTGGAGCAGAGGCTGAGCAGCTTTCGGGACACACTGAAGCTCTTATTCAGATGCCCCTTATCAGGTATCTGCTCTGGGAGAGGAGAGATGGGAGGGTCTGCTGTGAGGGATGGATTGAAGTGAGGAGACACTCATGGCAGGGGTCTCTCTGGCAGGGAGCCATTGGGTTGTTGAAGAAAGGGACAGCAAATGAGAGTGGTGGCCAACAGAGAGGAGGATCAAGGTGCATTCCAGATTTAGGGTGACTCACCTAACTCTAAGGCAGATCCTGCAGGAGGGAGGAGGGGGGCAGCCAGCAATGCAGATCACACTGTCCAAAGCACCAAACTCAGGTCTCCCATGGCTTGATATCAGTGTCAAAGATCTGAGAAGCCCCTGAATTGGGTTGTGAAATTGGTTGTTTGCACATTTTTCTAAAAAAGAGGGTCTGTAGCTTTAATTATTTCTCGCTACATCTGAGATTCCCAGGGGTTAAAAATTACTGATTGATGAAGTGCAGGCTGGTGGTGGGGCAAGGTAGCTGAAGCTCTCAAGCGTGGGTGGCACTCATGATGAGGTGGGTGGGGTAATGTGGGGTAGGGAGCTGGGGTGGAGAGTTCATCTATTTTGAAGGCAGGAGCCCAGGCAGTATGTGTGTGGGGGGGGGGGCGCGATGAGGGAGGAGGCCACATAAAAGGGGAGAGGCTGGGCAAGAAGCAGGCTGAGGTTTGAGGCAGGGAACCGGGCTCTAGGTGACTGGAATGTTTGTGTTTGTGGACTGGCTACCTATGGTCCAGGTTAGGCTCTGTCTAGCTCAGGGGCATTGGGATACTCCCCCAAGGCTTAAGACGGTGAGATGATGTGCAGACACCCAGCTCTCATGTCTTTAGCCTTCTCATTCTCTGTGACCCTCAGTCACAGGCAGTGCTGCCCCCATTCCCTCAGCATCCTGAACTGCTCTTCTGCTCGAAGGCTGGTTTCAGACCTCCACTCTGACTGCAGCTGCCTCCTCCAGGCTTTCCCCACCTTCTTTAACCTTAGTGAGGCCTCCAACCCACATCTCCCATTTCTTCCCTTTGCATCAGCTGTCACTTCTCTCCACCCATCTTGGCTTCTGGGACCCATCACTTCAACCACTTACTCCTTTGTTCTGTGGTCCTGGTGCACAGACTGGCAATCTCAGCTCTGGATGAACTGCCCACCTTGCCCAGGCCTGCACCCAAGTGTTCCACATTGTACAAGCATTTGCTTGGTGCCGCCAAAACGCTAGCCTCAACCTCAGCCAGTTGCTCAGTGCTGCTCGGAAGCTGTGCAGTGCTCAGCTTGCTCTCTATGATGGCTCCTTACCCTACCATCCTCTCTGTCACTTTCAGCAGGTGCCTTACTCTGTCAGAAAAATTCCCTCCATTTTTCACCACCGAATCTATATGTCCATTCACATTTTTGCTCACCCTCATCTTTTGCAAGGATAAAGGCAACAGCTTGCTGCATCATTTCTCCTAAACATACCTCTCCACCCCCATCCTCACCCCTGCTGTCCCCATCCACTTTTCATGTGGCAGCCAGGGCAATCCTTTCAAAACAAAAATCTGATCATGTCATTCCAGTTAATTAATCACATCAAAAGTTATGGAATGCACACTATATGTCCAGCACTGTGCCCAAACACTTGGAATATAGCCAATAACAAAATTCCTATATGTAAAACCCAACATTGACTTACTCTTCCTGGTAATATGAAAATAAGAAAATCCTTAGCCTGGCTTCCAAGGTCCATGCCTATCTTTCAGCATGCCACTTACCCTTCACCCTCTTTCATTTGGCCACACTGACTTTGTATTCTTTTTAGTTGCCATAGGACAGAAACTCAAGAGGGTAGCTGGGTGAGGACATGAGAAAATGTAGATAGAAGAGAGGGAGCTGGGAAGGAAAGATCTTTGAGTGACACAGGTAGGACTCATGGAACAAAGCAATGAGAGAGGTGGGTTGGGATGAGGAGCTCAGATTGGGGTACGGGCTATGAGAGTAAGAGGGATGTTTATTGCTTAGAGATAATCAGGAACAGAGAAGAGACGAATTTTGAGGTGGAAGGGAGGGAAATGGAGAGAGTTCACATCAAGAGTCTGACGATTTCAGCAGTACAGGAACCAAAGTTATTAACTTGTAGAAGAGTGGAGAGAGGGGGAAGGAGGTGGCTGGCAGCTTGGAGAGTGTGGGCAAGTTTCAAATATGCAGCGAGGAATGCTGTAAGGAGCTCCTGAGTTGAATAAGAGGCCAATGAACACTTACGGGGCGGCCCAGGTGAAGCCAGCCAAAGTGTAGGGGTGGGGAGACTGCAATTATTCAGAAATTGAGAATAGTATCACCACCCTATTAAGATAAACCCCTCAGACTGTTAAGGAGTGCTGTTGTGAATATTAAAGACTTTTACTAAATCTGCATAGGAATGGGATTACCAGGGGAGGCCCAATACAAATCCACAAAGACGAAGGGCTAGGAATGAGTGAAGATGCTGGGATTAGACCAAGGTGGGCACTGTTAGCGACCAGATTGCAGGGTCGTCAGTCTCCTCCCAAACAGAGAGATCTCCCTTCTGGGTCTGGGCTGTACTGTCACATTCTCTCCGGTTTGTAGACAACTGCTGTCCCATGGGATGGATACTGAATGAGAAGAGTTGCTTTTACATCTCATATACGGAGAGAAGTTGGGAGGAGAGCCGAAATCACTGTAAATCCCTGTCCTCTGACCTGGCCGAATTCGGTGAAAGTTCTGTTTATTCTCATACGGTAAGCATACCCTTACTGGCAGACTGTAGTGGGTACTGTGAAGTAAAGGGGTAGATGTCATCAAGTCAGGAATGGCATTGCACGCGTCCCTTTTCTGTGCAGCTTCTCAGCACAGTGCTCCAGGCAGCCCCTACCAACTGACTGGAGTTGGTACGAGAGTTGAAGCTCATGAACCTTCTTTACTTTAACCTGTTTCTCACCTTGGCTTTCTGGTCAACATTACAGGGCTGTTTAACAGCTTCTTTCACTCTCTTGGCCTCTCAAGCAGAGAGATCCCATATCTGGTGGGCTGGATTGTAGGGATTGGCTCCTTATGATCAGAGCAGCCCACAGAAGGACTCCCCTTCAAAGACTGGCAGAAATTCTTACCCAGCAGCAAGGTGAACTGAAGGGCCAGCCTGCATCTGCAAGGTGGCACTTGAAGGCAGCAGGGACAGGTCACCGATGAGCTGATGTTATGCATGTCAGACAGAAACAGTCCTCTTGTCAAAGCTCAGAGACCTCCCTATAGTGTTCATTTTCGTCCATCAGCCCACATCCCCTCCATCCTATGCTGTCCCCCATCCACTGGAATATTCCTCATCATTCTCTACATACCTCTTGTCTCTCTGAATCGCCCCTCAGATTGCATACAGCAACAGAGCGAGGAAGATGTTGACACAAATTAGTCCGCCTGGTTCATTTTGGGTTGTTCACAGCTTTGTTAAGAAGTGGCAGCAGGGTGACAATAAAAGAGGCTCTGGGTAAGTCTGTTAGGACTCCTGGGAATATTCAACTCATAATTCCTTCATAAAGACATAGCAATGAGATTCCCCTTCTGCTCCCAAAGTTTTGGGAGGTCCTACCCCCAAAATTCTTTCACAAATCAATATTGTAATTACCTACTAATCCTTTTCCTTTACTTAGTAACTCTTTAGGACAGTCTTATTCATTGTCCCCTCCCCAGTACCTGGCAGTCTCAGGTACTTTTTTTTTTTTTTTTAAGTTACTAGGTTGGGACCCATATCATTTTTGTCTTGAAGCAGCTGAGGCTTTAGCTAGGACTTCATAGCTCATAAACCCTGGCATTCTAACTTCCCATCCATTGACAAGGCTACCCAAACTGAGGTGGCACCTTCTCATTCAGGGCCTCTCGGGGGACTAGAGTTGCCTTAGAGAAGGTAGGGAGCAGTGAGGCAACTTTGAAGATCAACTCCAGGGACCCTGAGACAGGGGAGTCATCTACATTCCCCAACAGGAGTTTCCATTTTTAAGATCTTAGGTGATTTTTCCTTCCCCCAGGCCTAAAGCCTCTTTGGGTTAGAGTAGACATCTGTCCCTGAACCACACTCAAATGAGGCCTTAGGCAGGCAAGGTGGGTTAGGACTTCATGGTGTTTAACGCAGGGCAAGGGGAGAAAAGGGAGGGTGGGCTGGGGGTGGGGGCAGAGCTTATCCCAGTTCTACCTCACCACTCTTTAGGTATTATGGTCAAGTCTCTAGATGTTACAAGGTACAAAGTAGTTGGCTAAAAATACAGTCAGAGATCTGTACTTCTCTTCTTCCCTGCATCTGTGAGATGGCAGCTTTCAAGCATCCGGATGAGGACCACATTTTGACCTGAGTTGGGTAAGCAGGAGAGATCCACTGAGTCATGGGAGTTGGGGGAGCAGGCAGGGAAAGGGACTCAGAGCAGGGGTAAAATTTATGCCCAAGAGAGCTGGTCACCTCTACAGCCTTCAGAATCTTGGTCTGTTTGGTGGCGGGGGCGGGGGAGGTTGGGCAGGGAAGGCTTAGAACCACTGGGAGGCTGCCAATGTGGCTGTCCAGGGAGGTGGGATGAGCTGGATGTGTCCTTAGCAACAACCATTGAGCTCACTGATGCTTTACTCTTACAGGTACTTATGCCAACAAGAGCCTGTGGCCCTCACCTGACTGCCATCTGCACACCCTAAGATCATCTCCCTCCAGCATGCCCCCACTCTGCCTAGACAGTGCCAAGGGCTGATCCATGCCCAACATTCCTAGCTAGCCTGCTGTCTGCTTGAAATCCCATCCCAGAAACTGGAGTACTTTGGGAACTGGGTGAAGAAGTCTCCAGAAGAGATTTTGGCCTCCCGAGGAATTTCCCATTGTGGACTTGTAGGGAGGGTGGAGGAGGGCGCATGGGCTGAGTGGATAAGGGCAGCCCGGAGCCAGCCAGGCAGTTTTATTGAAATATTTTTAAATAATTTGCACGTGTTAGTCTCATGTGTCAGCAATGCTTTGTCTGGTTCAGTGATCGCCCACGGGAGAGCAAGCCCAGGGGCCAGAGAGGAAATGTTCTGTCTCTTGAGTCCATGCTGAGGTTCCTCTATGTGGGGAGAGGAGGCGGTCAGCCCATCTGGGGCTGGCACCATCCAATGTGTGTGCTCTGTCCTCACGGGGCATCCTGAAGGCCAAGGTTGGAGGCCAGAGACCACAGGCCCCACCGCTAAGAGCGCGCCCCAGGCAGCTGCAGACCGGGTGTGGGAGGCTTGGCGTGGTGCCCTCGGTGGCAGAGGAGACTGCCCGCCTCACAGTTCAGGTTGCGGTAGCGGGCAACAGCTGGTGTGGGGCGAGGGCACATGGATAGGAAGCCAAAGCTGAAAGGGCCAAGACAGCAGCCGGGGCAAGGCAGCCCCTCATCAGACTCCCGGGAGCTGAAGGGGGCGGCGAGGGCTCTGTCCGCTCCAGGGCTGCCGCCCGGGGAAGGCTATGCTGGGCCCGGTTCCACGGTTCCCCAGCCCAGCCTTGCGGGGAGCTGACCACCACAGCTGGGGGTTGTTGTTAAGGGCAGGTCCTGGTCTAGGGGACCAGGGCTGGGAGGCCGAGGAACAAGTGCTGATGAAGTTGTCTGTGGCCACGGCCAGGGGCAGCTGGGGAGCCGGTCCTGGGGGTTCTGGCTCAGGGCTGCTGCCCTCACACTCCATTCTTTCTTCAGCCGAGGGGCCCACAGTGGGAGGGCCAGGACCTGGCAGTGCTGTCTCCATACGTCGGGGAAGCTCAGGGGATGATGGTAGCGAGCGGCAGCGACGGGCAGGTGTCCCAGGCTGGACCAGGGTCTCTGGAGCGGTCACTGAGGGCAGCTGCATGGAGGGCAGTGGTGATGGCAGTACAAGGGGCAGGGGGGCAACTGGCTTGCTGGGTGTGTCCAACAGCTTGATCTTGCCTCCCCTGAGGTCTTCCCGGAGTGAGAAGGGGTTGACTCGAGTCAGATTGTCCCCCCAGTTGGGAGGTGATTCTGGTGATGGGGGCAGGAAGAGGTCTGACCGGCTTCGGGAAAGCCGGGGGTCTGGCCTAGGAAGTGTGGCTGAGGGACCCCCTCTTGAAACAGACCCTGTAAACAGAGAAGTTTGTGGTTACTGTTCTCAGCATTCATTGTAGCTCCTTGAGGCCTCATTATTCACCAGGAGGTTGGTGGGACTAGAGCTTTTTTTTTTTTAAATTTTTTATTTATTTATGATAGTCAGAGAGAGAGAGAGAAAGAGAGAGAGAGAGAGAGAGAGAGGCGCAGAGACACAGGCAGAGGGAGAAGCAGGCTCCATGCACCGGGAGCCCGACGTGGGATTCGATCCCGGGTCTCCAAGATCGCGCCCTGGGCCAAAGGCAGGCGCCAAACCGCTGCGCCACCCAGGGATCCCATGCGCCACCCAGGGATCCCGGGACTAGAGCTTATAAGAGGGAGTCCCACTGGGTACTTTGGACGGGGGGTGGGGGGGGGATGTCACCTCTAGCCCTCCCTTACCTCTTCTTTCCTTCTTCCCTCCCTTGGCTCTAGAATTTGAAAATGTCTTATTTGAGATATCCTTTCACCACTCCCACTTCTCAACTCATAAATACACGTAGTCTTAATTCCTTGAATTCTAAGGAAGAGAGGCAAAAGGAATTCAGTTGGGTCAGGGTCATGCTCACTTACTCTGATTGTGTGTCAGGGGTGCCCTGGGACAGGGGCTGGCTCAGGCAGCTGCTCCAGGATCCATTCCAGGTGCTGGGTGATCTCGGTGAAGGGAGCACGAGTGCTTGGTTCCATCTGATGGGCGGAAACAGGGATAGCTTCACTCAATGCTCCTCCAAAAGAAGGTCTCTACATTTTCCTCCCACCACCTGGAGCAGGAAAGCCTTGCCAACTGACGGATGGGGGTGGTGGGCAGGAAGAAAGAGTGAGGCTCTTACACTGCAGCAGTGGATGGCCAGGAGCAGGAAGGGTAGAGGGCAGTCATCCCCCACCAGGGTCCGGAAAGCAGGCACGTCCAGGCCAAAGTCCTGCAGGAACAGAGAGGCGGAGCCTTCAAGTCTGCCTCCCTTGGGTTCTCCTTCTGACCCCCAATCAGGACCTCAACCTCCAGGGAACCCTCCTTGGTTAAGAGCTGCCCAGTCTGGAGCGCCTCCTTTTCAAACCTGGAGACATCATTCACCTCAGTTCGGGGCAGGTAATCCGGGTCTGCAGGTACTCTCGCGATGAGTTCACAGAGGACAATCCCAAATGCAAAGACATCGGCCTGGAAAGAGGAGAGAATGTCACTGGGAGGAACTGATAGTTTTCATGTCAGGATTTTGTCAGAATATGCCAGATTTTGGGGGAAGTCTTGCTGGTTTCATGTGTTGGAGAGGTGCCTATGAGGGGCTTAGGGGGGATTTGGGGGTCTCCTAAATATTCAGTATGGCGGTTAAAGAACTTGGGATGGGGCCTTATAAAAGTATCTCAAGGGTCCCTGGAAGGCCTTGGAATCTGAAGGCTTGATGTCTTACCTTCTCATCATACAGCTCACCCCGCAACACCTCTGGAGCCATCCAGTATGGAGAACCTACCACAGCCAATGGCTCCTTTCTTGCCCCTTCCCTGCAGGGGTAGGGGCAGAGTGATCAGAAACATTCCACTCACACCGCCCCCCCAAACAAAAGGGGATGAGGTCAGCCCCCTCCCCACTCCAAAGGAACTGTCTCTGGGGGCTTCACTTAGATAGGGACCTTCTAGAAAGTTTTTTTTGGGGGGGGCACAGGAGCATTCACCTCACCTATACACAGGAATCTTTTCAGCCAGCCCGAAGTCACCCACAACAGCCGTGAAGCCTCGGTCTTCCCGTCGTATCAGACAGTTCTGACATACACATAGCATCCCCACATACCCATTACCTTCTGTTCTCTGATCTCCCAGTATATACCCCAAATCCCTATCACTCCAGAGTAACCTCAACTCTCTCTGACCTCCCAGTTCTCCAGTGTACCCCAATCTTTCAATATTATCACTTCAAACATAGCATGCTTAGCCCCTCGAGCCCCCCCCACTCCAGTCCCCATTCTCCAGTGCCTTGTTACTCCAACATCGTAACTTGTCTACTATCCACATTCCAACATCCAGGGGCCAGTTATAGTGTAACAGTCTCAAATCCCTTTCATGCCTCTATTCACCTGGCCAGCCTACCTTGGATGTTAGGTCTCGGTGGAATACACCTTTGGCATGCAGGTACCGTAGGCCACGGGCAATGTCCAGAGCCAGGCGGAGCCTGACAGGCCAGGATAGAGGTTCGGGGGAGCTGAGCAGCTGTTCCAGGGTCCCCCCATTCATATACTGGGGCATAGAAGGAGGAGAATAAGTGTCAAGGAGAATTCCGTCTGTACTCTAGGTCTCCCACTTATAAGTCAGGGGACACTCAGGAGGATCGCAAAGGTCAGAAGGGTGAGTTTGTGCTCTAGGGTCCCTCCCCACTCATCTTTATGGCTGTCCTGTCCAAGACATGAGCAACTGTTTAAATTATTAAGTTTAAATAAAATTAAACATTTAGTTCCTCAGCCACACTAGTCATATTTCTACTGCCACATGCAGCTGTAGAACATTTTCATCACTGTGGAAAGTTCTGTTGGACAGCATTGTTAGAGCACACATAGAGAATGTAACCAACTGAGGCATTTTATTTGTGGTTAGCCCAAAGGGAAGTTCAGGGAAGCCTCTCATGGGAGGAGGTCCTGCTGCCTCTCATTATTCCTCTGTAGATGCACTTGGCCCTGACTCTCTCCCCCCTAGGTGGTGTGGTGGTGGTCCCCTCCTTCCGGGCCCATCCTCACCTCTGTAAGAGCGTGCAGCTGCCCCTGGTGCACACAGACCCCCATGAACCTGGAAGAGGATAGGGAAGATAGAAGGGTAGACTGTTAAGAGTCCAGGCCCCTCTACAGTTCCCGCTTTTCCCGCGGGATCTTTCGTCTTCTCCCAGCAAGCTTCTCAGCAAGCGGCCGGGGCCGCTCACCTTAGGATGTTGGGGTGTCGGAGCCGGTTCATCAGCTGCACCTCCCGTAGCGTGTTTCCTCGGTTACTGGGGAGTCTGTTCATTTTCAGCACCATGACTTGCCCTGACTGTCGGTGCCTAACCTGGGGACGGCAGATCCGCCAGGTCGCGCGAGGTGTCCGGGTCTGGGTCCCCTAGTTCCAGCCTCCCGTCTATGGCTCGGTCCCGCCCCTCTGCCCTCTCTGCTGATCCTACCTTATAGACCTCAGAGAAGAAGCCGGCCCCGATCTTTTCGGCGCAGTGGAAATCGTCCACGCGCGCCAGGCTGGACACGGCGCTGCGGAGAGCCCGGTAGGAGGAGGGGCGGCCCCGGCCAGGGCCTCCACCCGTGCCCCCCGGCCCCGGGGGCCCCTCCCCCGGCGCCTCTCCGGGCCCTGGCCCAGGGCCCCGCAGTGGGGGCCGTTCCCCGGCCATGGCCGGGCCCCCAGCCCGGGCCTGCCTCACATGGCAGGGTCCCCGGGGCCCGGGCAGGCCGCGCTTGCCATGGGCGTGCGCCCAGCCCGATCCCGGACGCCGGGGCTCCCGCTCCCGCTCCCGCCCTGGAGAATGGAAGATCCGCGGAAGATCTTGGGCCCGCCCCCGCCGCGCCGGCTTGCAGGGCCCGGGTAGACGCCGCTCCGCTTCGCTCTGCGTAGGGCCTGGGCCTGGGCCTGGGCCGGGCGGTGGCGGTGGCGGCGGCTCTCCTGGGCGCCGGCGGGCAGGCGGGCGGCGGGCGGCGGGCGGGCTCCCCGCAGGCGGAGGCGGGCGGGCTGGCGGGCGGGCGGGCGGCCGCTGCTCCGCTTCGGCGCTGGGGCTCAGGCTCCGCGGCCTGCCGGGGGCGGGGCTGAGCCGGGCCTCCGCTTAACTCCTTCCAGCCCGGCCCCCGGGCGGCGGCCACGCCCCTTCAGGTAGGCACCCCGCAGGCGGTGACCGCGACACCCTAGGCGAGTGGGTCTGGGACGTTGGGGCCACGAGAGTTCAGGCCCGAGCTAAACGGCTGAAGGAAATTACGGGCTGGTTGTGCGTACGCGCGGCTCGAGTGTCTTCCAGCTGCCCTTTCTCTCTTCCCACCCTCAGGCCACGGACTTGAGAGCCGGGCTCAGGAAGCCGCCGGATTCCTGGGCTCCGTGGACCAGCGGGGCAGAAAAGTAGCCCCTTCCGGGCCAGCCACAATCGGAGGGAGCCCAGCAGCCTGCCTGCCTTCCCGGCCCCCGCTCTGGCCCAGCCTGCCCATTTCCCAGGTCTCCACCCCTGCGCCTCTGGATTCCCGGACACCTTTGCCCCTCTCGGGCGGCTCTGATGCCCTCGCGAGCCTGTGGCCAGCCCGTCCCCGGTGTGGCCCCGCACACCTCCCTACTCCATCCTGCCTCCCTGGGGTACAGTTCAAACGAGCAGAGGAGTATCCGCCCAGTGACCACCCGGCCTGAACCTTCCCCTTACTCTTTCCTGCAAACGGCCCTATCTCTCGGCAGAGAAGCCTCCACCTGCCCGGAAGCCCCTCCTTCCGTGGGGTCCCGCCCCTCAGCAGAAACCCCGCCCCCCGAGGGGCCCTTCCCTCAGTGAGACCCCTCCCCCCAGGGCCACCGTTTCTCCAGAGAGAGCCGCGGTCAGCGGGTGCCAGGACCCCTCCCAGCGACGTCCCTCCTCTGTGTGTTCCTCCCTCACAACGGGACCCCACCTCTCAGAGAGACGCCACCGGTCTTTGTGACCCCTCCTCTCAACGTGGCTCCTCCCCTCCGTGTGCCCCAGCCCTTAGGAGTGTGACCGCCTCGGGAGGGTTCGGCCCTCCACCTCGTAGGAATCCGGTCTGCCCCCTCCGGCTAGAGGGAGAGCTGCAGCCGGCCTCCTTCCCGTCGGCGCTGGGCCCGGAATGCGCACGCCCCGCGCACCCGCCGGACCCAGAGCTTCCGGTTCTCCGCTGGCTGCCCCTCCCCCCGGGGCGTCGGCGAAATAGCCAATTACCGCCTGGGATAGAGTGACGCCGCTGGATCCGGCCGACGCCTCCGGGCCGCGGGGGTGGGCGGCAGTGAGCAGCTTGCCACCTAGCGGCGGAAAGGAGGGCGGCGGGCGTGGAGGCTGCGGGTCTCCGGAGCCAAACGGGCTGCGACAGAGCTTGAGGGAGGAAGGGTGAATTCCGTTCAAAAATTCTCCAGTACTGCAGTTCTATTTTTGTGGTAAGACGGAAAGGAAAATAATACAAGTACAGGCCGCATCCGTGTGGGGGTGCTCGCCTTCTAACGGAGTTCTGGCCCGTGTCTGTGAGCGTTGGAGCCGAGTTCGATTGAATTGTCCAGGGCTGGGGCGCCAGGGCGGCTCAGTGGGTGAGCGGCTGCCTTTGGCTCAGGTCGTGATCCTGGGGTCGTGGGATCGAGTCCCGCACGGGGATCCCCGCAGGGAGCCTGCTTCTCCCTCTGCCTAGGCCTCTGCCTCTGTGTGTGGGGGGTCTCATGAGTAAATAAATGAAAGTCTTAAAAACAGAAAAGAATTGTTCAGGGCTAATGAGTTAGAGAAAAAGCAGTCTTAGCTATAAACGATGCATTGGAGTCGGAAGAAGGCCTGGTGCACCATACAACATTTGGAGAGAGGATGAGAGAAATTCAGTCATCCTGGAGCCAGTGGAGATGGGCCAGTCTTGAGAACAGCATATGCTTGGGTCTTGTACATCATATTCATTCTTCCAGAGGCGATTTGCTTTCAGCAAAACAAACCGTCATCACCTTAATGTTAGCAGCCACAACTATTTAATTTGGAAGTTTGATTTCTATAGTGGTGTGAGATCTATAAACACTAGGAATTTCTGCTTCGTTTTGCTAAAATAACGTTATAATTGGTAACTCACATATATCTGACTCTTGATCTGAGTTTGAGGGTTACTGTTGGCGGTGGTAGTAATTCCAAGCAGAGAGCCGGGATCCTGGTTTAGAAAGCTCACTGTGGTTGTGGTATGGAGGCAGGGAGACTGCCGATGTTTCAGTCAGGAGAGGATGACAGACAACTAGGATAGGGATAACAGGGAAGGAGAGGAGGAAACATTCAACCACTACGGGAAAACTTGCTGATTGATTGGCATCCAGAGTCAGTCAGTTCAGTGGAGAGAAAGCATCCGCCAGGACCTGTTTTTTTTTTTTTTTTTTAATTTAAGATTTTACTTATTTATTTGAGAGAGAAATAGAGCACTAATAGGGGGTGAGGGAGAGGGAGAGACAGAGCCCCCCTCCCTGAGCAGGGTGCCGGATGTGGGGCTCAATGCCAGGACCTGGAAATAATGACCTGAGCTGAAGGCAGATGCTTAACTGCCTGAGCTACACTGGCACTCCAGCCAGGATCATTTTTTAGTACCTTAGATGACTGCATGATATCAACTGAGATAAAGAATCCAGGAGGAGGAAAGTTGGAAAGTTTGGGTGGGGAAGACGTGATTGCCATAAGAAAAGGGGTGATGATAAAGGAAACTATGAAGGTAGATGCCATCATCCAAGTAGGGTGTAAAGACGGCAAGAAATGGGCTGACGGTCCTGGGGAACACCAACATTAAAAGGATGGGTGGGGGGCACCTGGGTGGCTCAGTCAGTTAAGCGTCTGACTTTGGCTCTGGTCATGGTCCCAGGTCCCTGGGATGGAGCCCTGCTTCTGGCTTCCTGCTCATCAGGGAGTCCACTTCTCTCTTGCCCTCTGCCCCTCCTCCCACTTGTGCTCTCTCTCTCTCTCTCTCAAATAAATAAAATCCATAAATAAATAAATAAATAAATTGGTGGGTGGATAAAGAGAATTCCATGAAGGAGCCTGAGAAGAAACAAGCTGAAAGGTAGGAAGTGAATCTAGAGGGGCTGGTGCCATGGAATCCAAGGAATGGAGAATTTAGGGAAAGTGGAATAATGAACAGCATTAAATAGTAGTAGGGGGGTGTCTGCTAAGATAAATTTTACGTATCCTCAGGCTATTAGAAGATCCTTTTGTTGTTGTTTTTCAGACTTTTATGATGGAAAATGTCAAACATGAAAAAAAAAAGAACAATAGAGGAAGAACAATGAATCCTTATTGACCTTGGGTAAGACCATTTGTGGAGACTCTTGTACAAAATCACTTACCCATGTACTCATTGTACTGTTGCCATAAGTGTCCTGGCTGAGGTGAAGTGCCTGCTTTCATGTACCTCGTATGCCAGTGGTTCTCCAAAGATCAATTCAGAGCCAATCCTGTTTCATATATATTCTCTTCCCCAACTAATTATCTGGTGTATATTTCTGATATTATATCATTTCATTAATAAATATTTCAGTATTTTATCTCTAAAAGATAAGGATTCTTCTTTAAAACAAAATCACAGTACCATGTCATATCTAAAAACCCCCAATAATTCCTTAATATCAAGTATCTATTTGCTCACATTTCCCCTATTGTCTTATAAATATTTAGTTAAAATATTAAAAGTCAAATAAGGTCTATACTTCATACCTGATATATCTCTTGAATCTTTTTAAATATTTAAGTTCATCCTTCACCTTTTCCCCCCTTACTGTCTTTGTTTAAAGATTTTTTAAAAATACTCTCTACACCCAATGTGGCACTTAAACTTAGAACCTTGAGATTGAGAGTCGCATGCTCCATCGATTAAGCCAGCGAAGTGCTCCTGTTTTTTTTTTTTTTTTTTTAAAGTAACCATGTCATTTGTCCTATAGAGTTTCTCTAAGTCTGAATTTTTCTGACCTGCTTCTGGTATAATTTAGCATGTTTCCCAGTCCCATATATTTCTGGTAGATTGCTAGAGACTTAAATTTATTTTTTTATTTTTATTTTTTAAAAATATTTTATTTATTTATTATTCATGAGAAAGAGAGAGAGAGAGAGAGAGAGAGAGAGAGAGAGGCAGAGACACAGGCAGAGAAGCAGGCTCCATGCAGGGAGCCCAACGTGGGACTCGATCCTGGGTCTCCAGGATCACGCTCCGGGTGGAAAGCAGCACTAAACTGCTGAGCCACCGAGACTTAAATTTAGATTTGATTATTTTGGCAAAACTAATTCATAGGTGAGTTTTTATTTTTTATTTTATTTTTTTGCTTAGGACTCTTATCAGGAGGCATAGAGTGGCCTTTTTGTGAGGAAAACGTTGAAGACCCTTGTCCAGACCAGTTTCTCAAACGTGGCACAATTGACATTTTGGGCCAGATAATTCTTTATTGTTGGGTGGCTGGCTATGCATTGTAGGAGGTTTAGCAGCATCCCTCGTCTCTACCCACTGGATGCCAGTAGCAGCTCTCCTGGTTGTGACATCAAAAATGTCTCTAGGCATTGCCAGTTGTCCCTTTGGGGGACACAATTATTCCTGATTGAGAACCACTGCTCTAGTTTCATTACTGTAGGAGTTAGAAAATAATATTCTCATTCTATTCTTCCTTCCTTTCTCTACAAAGAGAAACTTCCACACTTGGTTGTTACCCAGAGATGTATTTCATGTAGGAAAGACAAGAAAAATGCTTGTTTTCCTTTAATTTTACTAGCTTCTAGTGAATTGGTTCCCTTGCATCCTGAAAAAGTGAGTTTTTTTTTTAATGTCCGTTTTTGTTTTGTTTTGTTTTTTAGAGAAAGCATGTGAGCAGCTGGGGGGGCAGAGGGAGAGGGGGAGGGAGAATCTTTTAATTAATTAATTAACTAATTTATTTATGATAGTCACAGAGAGAGAGAGAGAGAGAGAGAGAGAGACAGACAGAGACACACAGGCAGAGGGAGAAGCAGGCTTCATGCACCGGGAGCCCGATGTGGGATTCGATCCCGGGTCTCCAGGATCGCGCCCTGGGCCAAAGGCAGGCGCCAAACCCCTGCACCACCCAGGGATCCCCAGGGAGGGAGAATCCTAAGCAGGCTCCATGCTCAGTGTGGAGCCCGAGGCAGGGCTCAATTACATGATCCTCAGATCATAACCTGAGCCAAAATCAAGAGTTAACTGACTGAGTTACCCAAGCATTTCTTTTAAGATTTTATTTATTTATTCATGAGAGGCACACAGAGAGACATAGGCAGAGGGAGAAACAGGCTCTCTGTGGGATGCCTGATGTGGGACCAATCCCAGGACCCCAGGATCATGGCCTGAGCTGAAGGCAGATGCTGAACCACTGAGCCTCCCAGGTGCCCCTCCGAGAGTTTTTTTTTTTTATAGTACCATTATGAACTTATAATTTAACACATGTATGATGTGTCTCAATCATGGGCTGTTTTTATCTTTTTTTTTTAAACCAGTTTGGGGCAGCCCCGGTGGCTCAGCGGTTTAGCACCACCTTCAGTCCAGGACATGATCCTGGAGATCCAGTCCCACGTCCGGCTCCCTGCATGGAGCCTGCTTCTCCTTCTGCCTCTGTCTCTGCCTCTCTCTCTCTCTGTGTCTCTCATGAATAAATAAATAAAATCTTTAAAAAAAATAAAACCAATTTGGATCTTTTAAATTTTATTTATTTATTTTGCCATACAGAAAGTTTATTATTAAATTGACAAATTTTATCTTTGTGTTTTTATCATTTTTAAATTGTCCTATTTTGACCAGGGGGAACTTATTCAAATTGGCTCCTGAGTCCTTTTGATACAACCCTTAAGGTTTCTTGCTATTTGAAAGGGTAAAATGTTCCAGGCTCATTTTGTGCACTTCTGGACTAGAGGTAGTATCAGCTATTTTTTTCAATGATTCATAGTTCCTCTTAATTGGAAGTGGTATTTAGAGACCACAATCTAGCTTCTAGGGATATAAGGTTATTTGACCTTAGGAAGAGCGGTTTCATGAATATTAATGAATTAATGAATATTAATTACATGCACTTGAGCTTGCTCTCTCTCGTTTTCTCTAAAATAAATAAATAAATCCTAAAAAAAGGTTATGGGGTGCCTGGGTTGCTCAGTTGGTTGAGAGTCTGACTTCAGCTCATGTGCTGATCTTAAGGTCCTGGGATTGAGCCCCAAACAGGCTCTCTGCTCAGGAGGGGTGGGGGGAGTCTGCTTGTCTCCCTCTTCCTTTGTTCCTACCCCTGCTGGCCCTCTCTCTCTATCGAATAAATAAATAAAATCAAAAGATTTTATTTATTTATTCACGAGAGACACAAGAAAGAGAGGCAGAGACACAGGCAGAGGGAGGAGAAGTAGGCTCCATGCAAGGAGCCCGATGTGGGACCTGATCCTGGGAATCTGGGATAACACCCTGAGCCAAAGGCAGCTGATCAACCACTGAGCCACCCAATAAATAAATCTTAAATTTTTTTTTTGAAAGAGAAAGTGCCGCAGGGGAAAGGGTAGAAGAGAGAGAGAGAATCTCAAGCAGGCTCCATGCTCACTCAGTGCAGAGCCCAATGCGGAACTTGATTTCAGGACCCTGAGATCATGATCTGAGCAAAATCAAGAGTCAGATGCTCAACTGACTGAGACATCCAAGCGCTCCAATAAATATATCTTAAAAAATCCAGGGGCATAAAACAACAATTACTAATTCTCATAAATCAATGGGTTGACTGAGGTCAGCATTCTGAACTAGATTAGCTAAAGTATTTTGCTTTGTACCATCTTTTTTTAATTTTTATTTATTTATGATAGTCACAGAGAGAGAGAGAGAGGCAGAGACATAGGCAGAGGGAGAAGCAGGCTCCATGCACCGGGAGCCCGATATGGGATTCGATCCCGGGTCTCCAGGATCGTGCCCTGGGCCAAAGGCAGGCACCAAACCGCTGCGCCACCCAGGGATCCCTTGCAACAGCTTTCATGTCTTTGGGTTCTAACATGACTGTCAACATTCTAGTGGCCAAAGTAAGTCCTATGGCTAAGCCCAGAGTTTACTTTGTCTATAGTGGGGATGGTAGGAAGGGAGAAAAGACTTCTAAACAATGATACAGGATATTAATTAATTTTCTTAAATTAAACCAACTCTGCATTTATAGAGTAAACCTAACTTGATCTTGATGTTTTTCTTCTTCTCATTCCTGTTTTCCCCCTCCTCCTCCTTCGCCATCTGTATTATTAAGTTTGGGTTGCTTTTTTTTTTGGTATTTATTAGGTTTTTTTTTTTTTAAGATTTTATTTATTTATTTATTCATGAGACACAGAGAGAGAGAGAGAGAGAGAGAGAGAGAGGCAGAGACACAGGCAGAAGGAGAGAAGAAGGCTCCTCGCAAGGAACCCCACCCCTGGACCCCAGGGACCACACCCTGAGCCAAAGGCAGATGCTCAACCACTGAGCCACCCAGGCGTCCCTTTTATCACTTTTAAATTTAAAAAAATTTTTTTTTTTTTATTTATGATAGTCACAGAGAGAGAGAGAGAGAGGCAGAGACACAGGCAGAGGGAGAAGCAGGCTCCTCGCAGGGAGCCCGATATGGGACTTGATCCCAGACCGGAATTCACCTTGAGCCGAAGGCAGATGCTCAACTGCTGAGCCACCCAGGCCTCCCGTGGTTTTTGTTATACTCACTGAGTTTTGGAACTATCACAATCAGTTCTAGAATATTTTCATCATCCCAAGAAGAAACCTCATGTCTACTGGCAATGACTCCCTATATTCCCACTCATAGTCCTAACCAACTATCAGTTAACTTTCTCATTGTATAGATTTGCCTTTTTGGACATTTCATGGAATCATGCAATATATGGGCTCTTTTTTTAAATTTTTATTTATTTATGATAGTCACACACACACACACACACACAGAGAGAGAGAGAGAGAGAGGCAGAGACATAGGCAGAGGGAGAAGCAGGCTCCATGCACCGGGAGCCCGATGTGGGATTCGATCGCGGGTCTCCAGGATTGCGCCCTGGGCCAAAGGCAGGCGCTAAACCAAACCGCTGCGCCACCCAGGGATCCCTATATGGGCTCTTCTATCTTACTTTCACTGAGCATAATGTTTTCAAGGTTTATCCATGTGATAGTATCATTAGTACTTCATCCTTAATTCAATTACTTAATTCAGTAAAAATTGCTGAATAATATTCCATTGTGTGAATATACCATGTTTATCTGTTCATTGGCTGATTGTCATTGGGTTGTTTCCACTTTTTGGCTATTATGAATGATGCTCCTAT